TAATTTTTTTTTCAAGAAAATTATGACGCTTATACTTCAAGTTTCACACCTCTCATGGAACCACATCATGTTCCATCGCGGACAGACAAAATCCTGTAGTACAAGAGAATCGGAAAGCAAATGTGACCTACCAAATGACTTTTCCATTTTCTCGTCAAGTGTTTTAAAACTTTTATTGCATTTGCCATCTTCCTCCAAAACTCGTTGCGCCTCGCGGTCCTTAATATTCTGTACCGCGCAACAGATATAGCAACATCCCGGGGCATCTGTCATCTCCCAAAACGGAACCACTATTTCAAAACTGTAAGCGTTGCAATTTTACCTAAGCCAAAACGTAATATCGCGAGATATGGAGAAATTTGTAACTCCACAATCTCCCGTTTTCAAATGCTTTCTCTCTAATTAGAATTTCGCTACGAATAGGGCCAGAACGCGGAACAGTGTCGAACTGGGAATAGACGAGACTCGGTGTAATTCCGTGTGCGGCGGTTCAAGGAAGCATTTTTGTTTGGTCCTGGTTACGAACAAAGTCGAAGCGTTTCTAAAGCCCTCTATGAATTTAAACTTTTCAATTGGTTGCAGACTACGCTTGCATCGCCCTGAAGTACAGTACCGGATGTTCAGTTTTCGACAATTTTATATAATAGGTCAATTCAATTAGGGCAAGAATTGAGGACATTAATAAATATGAAACGAGTCTTTATAAGGTGGGATCCTAGCATGGAACTTCATATGAGAATGCTAAGGTATTATAAATTGTCCATTTTACGTTATGGTTGTGGAAGTTAGGCACGTGGACAACAAAAACGCTTTTGAACGTATTTATATCGAAGAATGTTGTGCAAATCATGGGTGGTAAGAATAACTTATACCGAAATAATTAAACGCATCCACAAAACAAAATAAAGCAACATTAATGCAACGTTAATGAAATAGTGAGCCTTATTATCGAGGGTTGGGTAGGGCAGGAGACAGAATTCGTTGCTCCAAATTAAATCTTATGGATCTTAAAATTAAAATAGAAATGAAAGAGTTAAATATAGAAGACGAGGCAACATTAAAAAAGTCTTCTACGTTATGGAAACATTTCCCAGTGGGACAAGTCTTTAGTTTTATTTTGAATCTGTCTCTAGACTCCTTAGCCTTCATGAACGTTTGTTTAGGTTTTTAATTTCACTTCAATAAAAAACCCTCTGAATTTAATTTTAATTTAATTAATTTAATTCCTCTAAAAAACAATTAGTGAAGTGCAATAATATTAATAAATTAATAATAGTTAATTTGACCTAACCAATTAATATAATCTGATAATTAACATTGGGCAATATCTAATCAAACTTGAGCGGTAAATTTAATTTCATAAGATATTTATTTATCTGTACAAGATATAATTGAACATCATATATAACAAATTATTCGTATGTTATTAACACTATGTATACTTATTTATTAATAATTTATGAGTAGCACATAATGTAAAAATTGGATATTAATATATCAAAAGGATGGAGGGCTATTTCATAATTTGGACAATCTAGATGAATATTGCTTGCATCGTAATTAATTCTATTAGGATGATAAAGGAGACACCAGGACAAAGGATGGAAAAGTGAAGGTGTGGTGATGATTGGCAGGCATTTTGATGCAAAGTCAATAACGCAATCAGATTTTCTCTAAGTTTTTTAGAAAATATTTTTTGCTTATTAAAATGTGTAGTGCCTGCTTACTGCTCCAGTGGAATAAACAAGGTTTTATTAATTTTTAATTCTCTCACATAAATGCGAAAATCAAAAACTTGAATAGAATAATTAAAATTAAAATAATTAAAAAATATATAATTTGCATTCTTTTGTGAAATGTAGAATTTGCTATGATATTTTCGTATTAATATAAATGTATGAACATCTTATATGTTTCCTGAAATATACACTAACGTTTTCTTAACAATGACATAAATTGAAGGATTTTAAACATTTCTAAACAATTTATATTTTTGTTTTGGGTTTTTGTTGCCTTTTAATAAAAATAATTAAAAATCTTGGTCGTAGATTAAAGGCTCATACCTTTTTCTTTTAAGAAAATTTGTTTATAAAAATTTTTCTATAAATTTTTGCGGCTTTTGACAAAGAATAAACAAAAACATAGAGTTTGTTTAAATTGAACATTAAGCTATGAAAATTTCAAAGAGTTTTTGAAACTTATTGTAACAAATAAACTATTTGCAGTAAAATTGGGTAACGTCTATAACATCTGGTCAGATAATTTAATTCTTACGATTAACATTGCAAAGAGCTTTTCTCTCATTTGCGCCGTAATTTTTCGTGGTGCGCGCGTCAGGCAATATTTCAATTTCATTTTATTCGCCGGTTTGCTGAAGGCCGTTTCAACAATCTAGCGCATTTTTGCCAGTCCACTGAGGTGTGTAAGTAACTCGAGCAATAAAGTTCACCGCGGCGAATTGACTGGAATATTTGCTGTTTTATTCGTGCAGCTGTCTCGAAAACATTGCGCAAATAAACTTAAAGGAAGAAATAAAAGGTGCAAAAATGTCACGATGAAATTCGATACTTCTTTCTTTGTCAATTTCAATTTAAATTAAATAAAATAGAATTGCTAAGGCTGAAAAATGCTGCGATCTGTCTGAAAAATCAGGATATTTTAAGATATGATGAAGTGAAGGATGAAAGCCTCACTTTTTCGATATAAGATTGTAACGAAATAAAATGCGTGTAAGTAAAAGTGCAAATTTCTTAAGATAGCAAAATCGATTTTGTACTTATACAAACATTTTCTGCGTTTTCAAGTACAAGCAATCAAAGTTAGAAAAAACTATTTTCATCAGATTTAACACTCCCATTTAGTATTATTATTTTATAAAATAGAAAAAATTACTAGTGTCGTAGTTATTGTAGGAAACTGAATATTTTTTAAATAAATCGATGTTTTATTTTTCTGAATTTAATTTTGTATGGGACACTTTGGCGATTAGAATATTTGTGGACGGAATGTTGCGACGGCTTAAGGCTTAAAGCGTACAAGTTGTATTAATATATTGGATCACGTTTCTATTTAATGAAATAACGCGTTCAAAAGTTCACACTTTCGTAATATATTTAAGCCATATTATCCCAAGCATAAAAAAAATACTTTTTTGCTCTGAAACTATTTTTTTGTTGCACTTAAGAATACATTACATGGGTTAAAAAATATATATAAAAAACTCGAAACATACAAAAAAATAATGGTGCGTAAACGAACCACTGGGAAAAAACATTAAATAATGTTTTGGGACACATAAGATTAATATATAATCTATTCATAAATATACAAAAGAAAGTTCAAATTCGACAGAAAACAACTAAAAGTAGATTGTTTTCCAAATAGAACCTGATTTGATACAAAAAAACGCATAATATTTTATGGTGCGTGAGCGCACCATTACACTTATTACAAACGTAAATTGCGTGGCTGTGGCAGTTTCTACATCTCCTTCGGTCTTTATTAGCATGAACAATCATGAGGTGACCTTGATTATCATAACGCGCTTCATCTATGGCAAGTGCAAGATTTCTTTGAGTAATTGTTTTATCAGTTTTTAAAAGTAAAGAAAAATAAGATTTAAAATCAAATCAATCACTTCGTCATCAAAAAGCATAAAAAATATTTCAAGCTGAGGTTTTTGATCTATATATATATATATATATATATATATATATATATATATATATATATATATATATATATATATATATATATATATATATATATATATATATATATATATATATATATATATATATATATATATATATATATATATATATATATATATATATATATATATATATATATATATATATATATATATATATATATATATATATATATATATATATATATATATATATATATATATATATATATATATATATTATATATATTTGTGTACTCAATCTGACCTTTCTTCCATTTGACATTAGAAGCAAGCCTGTCGTTTGCAGAAAGCATACGCCTTCTTTTGAATTCCAGGGTTTCATCATCTGATGAGTACCATTAGGTTCAGTAGTTGATGAATTACAGGACTGTTGAAGGACAGCTGTATCATTCGGTGTATGTAACTCGAAAGTTCCAACTATATCAGTTGGTTCTTCAAACTCTTGTAGATTTATGTGATCGTTCATATCTTCTTCGTCAGTCAAGGTATTCACGTCGGGTGGAATATAGACCGCGTCAGTATATTCTGTAAATATATTTTCACGTTATTTTTAGCATAAATTTACAAGGAATGGATTGCTACAATACATAAGAATAGGTAAATTCAAATAATACTTACGACTTTCATTGTTATTGTCCTCACCAGTAAATATTTTCAAAAAATAAAGCATAATCAATATAGTATTTCCAATGTATGTTTTCCGGGATGTAATCTACATGCGATAGACTTAACAAAAATGGTAATACAAATCCAAAATATCTTATTTTACTATTTTGGATTTACTTGAAAATGTGATACAAATTTATTTTTAAAGTCATATATAAGATCTTTCCTTTACACATAAATTAGCGATTTCTACGGTTTTATGTCCTTTAGTAGTGATAATAATAAATTTTCTAAATGGATGTGCAAAAATATTTCCTGGATGTGACAAAAAAAATCATAAAATATATGGTACATTAACGCACCATTGGGACAATATGGGTTAAGTAGAACACGCCCTAGTCGCCCTAAATGGAGACACATAAGCACAAATTTCAATTCTTGGGGTTATTTATTTTCGATTTTTGTTTTATTTTATGAAAATTTCCAATTGGTTTATCTATATGTATTTCCTTTGGCCTTAGAAAAAAAAGGACCAGCATGATAAAATTGAAAAAAGCAAATAACTAAAAAAAAAATGTATGTCTTCATCCATTGTTTTCTCATGTGACTTTTATTAAATTTTCGAAATTCTTAGTTTGTTTGTTTTAACGTCTTTCTAAGAGGCTCGTATTCCTTTTAGGATGCTGAGGGTAATTACGGCGACGACAATCCTAGCAACCACCTGGTCGATTATCCTGCCGTGCAAAAAATCGGAATTCCAATGCTCCGATGGGAAATGTGTCGGAATGTCGAAATATTGCAACGGCGTGCAAGATTGTTCAGATGCCAGCGACGAAATACCGAATTGCACACGTAAGTCTGGAATTTTTTTAGATGTGGGGATAGTCCCGTACATATTTTACACCCTTGTGTCTGACAAAGAATATTAAACTTGCAAAATTGATCTAAAATTCTGAATCATTAAATTAACTTAACTACTGTAATTCTAGACTTATTGATTTTGAAGTTGAGTATTTTAGTCGTAAATAATGAAATCGTTGGTACATCTTGAAAATTTACTCTCTACAAATCGGTAAAATCTTGATTTTTAATTTTTGTTTTAATGTTACTGATCTATAGAATACCTTATTTCAATAAATCAAAAATGTTTTGCTCAATAATAAAAATAAAACTATTTGACGTATACTTGTCATGCTTGGCGAGAAATATAGTTAGTGTACTTATTATATACCGTGTGCCAAATAAAATGACGCACTATACGATCTGGAAACCCATAACAGATACGAAGAAAAGTTTCTTACACAAGTGGAAGTAGTATCGTGTCATTGCTATTTAAAAAATACCTAATGACAATGACAAGTGACCTAATGTGAGCAGTGGGATGTAATCTTAAACCTCGAATATCTCATAAAGTAAGTAAAATTTAAATATAAAATAAATTACTAATTTAACTTGTGTTTTGTCCTAGAATTGATAACTGAATAAAAAATATATGGTGTTCCACTTGAAAATCTTGAGATTTTGTTAATTAAATTCGCCAAAACGGCACCGCCGATTTGGGACACACTGTATAAGCTGAGGCGCATCTGTCAAACTTCAAAGAAACTTCCACAGGCTACTGTAATACTTTTTACAAAACTTCCTGATTCCTCCTGCGTCGGTTTTTGGTGAGTCGAACTTGTTGGCGTTTCGCCAATCATCCTGTTGGCTTCTTCAGAGCTTGACTGAAACTGTTTCAGTCAAGCTCTGAAGAAGCCAACAAGAAACGTCAGCAAGTTCGACTCACCAAAAACGGACGCAGGAGGAATCCAGAAGTTTTGTAAAAAGTAACACAATTTTTTACGCGCTAATCAAAAATATGGAAAAAAAGTACATAACCTCAATTGCTGCCTAAACTATGTAAAATTCGAATAGGAATTTCTTAAGAAAGTGACCTTTATTTTAACCAAGCATTCCAAACAAGTCGACATATACAGGGTGTTCCATTTAAAATAACAAGTTGATGTCTGAGGAGAAACCTTGGGACACCCTGTGTCAACAAAATTAAAATATTTTAAATAATCAGGAGAGTCCAAGAAACTTTTGTATGAAACTTTGGTTCGTATCTCCTATAGGTTTTCAGAACGTATAGGTCGTTTTATTTGGCACACGGTGTACATTCTATTTAATTTTTCAAACAAAACAACAAAGTTGCTGGTTGATCCTCCCCACTGGAGGAATTACCATTTCAGTACAATTTTCAAATATGTAAAAATCAGAGAATTTTTTTTTAACGATAAATCATTATTTTTCGAGATATGTAAAGAGTTAGCGCTTATTATTATGTATAGAATAATAGAATAATAAAATAAATCATATTCACTTTTTCACTCGAGGCCTCAGGCACGACTACCTGCTTCTTTTCCCGCACGTCTGTGGCTGAAATTGAGAAACCATCCCTGTTTAGCTTCAAAATCATTTGAAAGAAAAGGAAACACAACAACCACGATTTCGTCTAAAACCTTTCTACCCAGAAATCCCAAAGAATTCTTAGAATTTCAATAAGAAGTTCACCAACTGGCTGAACACAAGATTTTTCTTTACTAAACAATACCACCGAAATTCTAATAATTATTATGATTTATTTTTGAAATATTTCAATTCGAATTAGCATGATGCCCAAATATTAAGATGACATTTAACCTGTTTACTTTATTAATAATTCGCGATCATCAGCTTTTCGATGAACAAAATCTGTTGAATCATTTTCATATGAATTTTTTTAGTTAATTCTTAATTTATTTACTGCAAAAGTGTGCAAAAGAAAATACGGAATTCTCCCGTGTTTCATATTTGCATAAGGAAGAATGAGAGGGGCGAGTTTTCCGTCGGGTATTTATTATAGCGAAGATCCTCCACGAAAAACCGAAAACGTGCCTAAACGACGAAATAACGTAAAGAGGAAAAATTCTTCACTATGCATTTCCATATCTGGCGGGAGATAACGGCTAAAATGATTATATTTTAAATCCCGAATAATTCAAAATATAAATGGGGAGCGACAGAAAGAATTTTAAATGGGCAAAATTTATTGAACCCCGCGAAAATGATGGTCGATTTCGTTCTCGCGCTTTAGCTGCCTTTTCCCTTAATTTTTAATTTTCTAGAATTTTAAAGTTCAAATTTTTTTTTAATGCTTGTTTCCTCTATCTCTGCAAGTGTTGCGGGGGGTGGGGGGTAGGTTTTGAAATATTTTCTTATGATAGACCAGGCGGGGCTTATAATAATATGAATTTATGTCATTAGATAGTCAAACAACGAACCCAGCCAAAATCGCATTTTGATATCTTTAGTCTAACCTAAAATATGAAGAAATTAACGCTAACAAAAGTTAGATTTTGGGAAAAATTTCAATACCGGAAAATTGAAGAATAAATGAAATGTTATAATTTTTATTTATTAGTTTTTTTGCAATACCTTCTAAGAACATCAAAATTACCCGGTAGCTGACATGTTTACAATTTGACATGCTTAGCTTTTTCCAAATTTTTAGTATTACCAGTCATTTTTCCATTAAAAATAACATTTATTCACCCACTAGATCACTTATTAATAGTTGTTATTAACTATTCACGTATTTGAATGGAAAACCACTTAAAAAAAAGATTTATAATTATCAATAATTATCTTTAAGATGTCGTTAACATTTGTCAGTACTGATGTTAAATTTTCCATCGTTGTTTCGAAAAAAAATTGATGAGATGCCTCGGGACTAACAATAAATGCGTAATTTTATTTTATTAGTTTATGAGTGATTTAAGAGTGAAGAACGAAATCCAGCGCCATCTTCATTTTCCCCTTGAAAATCAGATTTGCCCCGATTGTTTGCTATGCAGAAACTGCACCGGACCGCACACATTCAAACTTAAAGGGTTTGAATTTATCGAACCGAAATAACAAGAAAAATTTATTTTCAGGCGTTGGAGTACATCACGTATTTTCCTTTGAGTTTTATGGGCGACGCTACAGACAGTGGCGTAGTTGATATTAAATTTGCCAGTTAGTATACAATATGTTGATTTATAACAACGCAACCTTCATTTTATCGACAGTCGCTTATTTTTTTGGCCGGTGTTCACCTAAACTGAGAAAAGGTTGAATCCTGTTTTCGCTAATATATAAAATGTGACTGTAAAAAATGAAAATTTAACACCCAGAAGTTTTTGTATTATTAACGTTATTTACTGAAATACTTTGTATAAATTTAAGTTGGCATGCGAACCGACAAAGTTCCTCTGCCAAATGTGAGGATTTTAATTAAAGATATATTGGAAAATTGCAACGCTTCTACCAACTCCTCGTTAAAAGTAGTTGGCGTGCATCCAAATTGGATAATGATTTCTATATCGTGTAACAAGTGCAGATAAGCGCCGATTTTTCTCGAATGTCGTAGATTCTGCGCTTTACTCAAATTAATCCCGCTCGTTTGTATTTTCCTAAAAAGCCAGCTCAAGTAAGATTTTTTGTTACGTCCCGAAAACATTCTGACTGCGTTCATGGCTAATGTTAAAAGTTCTAGTCGGGCTCATGGTAAATTTATTTTCCCGTTTAACATTCGCGTACACAAATAACCGATTTCGAATTTTACATCAACTCTCGAACTGGCTGGGGGCTTATTCAGGGCTGAGTAGTTTCCTAGTCTCAATAAATCCTATTGAAGTTCAGGATATATTGCGCACTCCATCCTTTAACCGTGAAATATGTCTCATTATTTTTAGTTCAGTGCTTATGGATAAGAATTTTGAACAGAATATAACACAGGATGACGCCATAGTTCTTGAATTACTTAAAAATTGCGGCTAATATTTACTACTAATTAGTTTTCCAATATCCAAATTTCTAAATTCAGTTCGATTGAAGAAATCAAAGAAAAAATAATTTAGAGGTCGTCAAGTTGGCAAGGAATTGTGTGAAACAATGACTTTTACTCTTTAATATAATATTTTATTAATGAATTTGTCTATTTTAAGTAAATAACTTGATAGCCATTCAAATTGGAAAACGTTTACGGTGTTATATACATTTCTCGCGGAAATCATATAATGCTTTTATAAAAATCTCTTTGTTTTGATTGTAATAAAAGTTTTTTTTTTGTTCTAGCTTGTAATATATCTTATTATGGCATCGTGGGGCGCACCTACGAGCTTGAAGTTAAAAGACCTACGGAAATTCCGTTTTTCTGTTTCCTCAACTTCACAGCAGGTGGCGGCGCTTATGGAGAGCTTGTCCAGGTAATTTATTTCTCGCTTTCATCCACCTACTTTTTGATTTTAAGGAAAGAGTATAGTGACAAATTTATATGTTTCCACGAGTAATTTGCAGTAACTAGAAAAACGGATGGCGCATTGTGGATCGATTTTTGAGAGGAACTCACTATCGTATTTTGTTTTCGGGCTATAATAAGATTCATTTTTACCATTTACCAAATTGATTCAGCTCGGGCGGCTATTATATGTTCGTAGAGAAGGGACAAACAATTGTAGAATTAGCGAACTGTCAGCGGCCATGTTGGTTACCACTAATTCTTACTAGTTGACTTGATCGGGTTATTAGTTATGGTATGTCTCAACATTTTTTCCATGGTGGCTTCAAAAGTTAGAGGAGTATTAGCATAAACAGAGTTTCTGTATATCTGGCAAAAACCATAAAGAAAGGTCCCAGGCAACTATAATGAAATTAGTTCCTTTTTTGGAGCTATTCGTATCATTAAAAAAAGCACCCTATTTAATTCGTTGATAGCCAACGGTGAAACAATAAAAGAAGATTTTTAAAAGTGCCTCAAGAATGTGTAAATCGATAATGTGCCATCAATTTTGCAATATTTCTTATTGTTACTATACATATTTTATTAATTTTATTCGATATAAAATAGTCAAGCCCTGATTTTTTTAATCGCTTCAAATATTTCTCTGTTCGCTCAAATATTAATATATCAAGCATAGTAAAATATCAGCGAATCATATTCATCAAGAAAATGGAAGTGGCTTAGTGCTTTTTTGCTACGATTCTATTTTGCCTATTCCAACTCCTAACGTCCAAAGTTGATGAATATGGAGATGAGAATTCGTGAAACTTTGAACAATATCTTCCGTTTTATTAAAGGTGTCATGATAACACCCCCGGGTCTCTTAAAGATTCATATCCCCGCGGTAAATGCGAGTTTTCTCTCTGCGCTAAATACTTTCTTTATTCTTCTTTCGACGAATTTGGGATATAACGTAGCTACTTCTACACAATTCTACAGAGTGATTTATAACTCAGTGTGTGCGTTTTCTTCAGCGTAAAGATTTTAAGATAGAATTCATTTTTGACACAAAAGGTACCTAAACGACTAGATATTATTTGTAACAAAATAAAAGTATAAAAGTACTGCACAATGAACCCACGCATTCAATTACGTTTTTTAAATTGAAATTTTACCTGTTGTTTGAAATAAGTCCTTTCTGACCAGCAGCGGCCTCAGTATCTTCAAAACTGTTACTGAGTAAAGTCCATTTAAAAAATGTTCTCTGTTTTCACCGGTTTCTTATCTGCAATAAAATTTGAATGACACCAGATTGTTGTAGTCTAATATGAATGGAATACAGGCACGGATTTTTTTTTTAATTCAATACTTATACTTGCGAAAGATGGTGACGATGAAAGCTCCAGTATAGATGTCTTGTTTGAGCAGATTGTTCCCTTTAATTTTTTTAAATTAATATTTATTTCTTTTAAAAGAGAGAATAATTATATATATACCATTCATGATATTTAATATACTATTTATGAAGGAATATAGTTGCAATGAAGACAGAGACAAAGATAGATAAGACACGAAAACCACTGATCCCCCTCTTACTCTTTCACATAGTTTTTCTCACTCTCTCGTCGACGCCATTTGCGAGTCTGTTTAAACCTGAAAAAATTGATTCTCTCCATTGATACCTGTAAAGTCAACGTTTCGTTTATTTCCCTGGGGACCCAAAGGGTCAGTTAATTCTCCCGCCTTAAAAATGGGAGGTGGAAAAACCTTGACTTTTTCCGCGCCATGTTATAAATAACAAAAGCGCCATCGCTTCAGCGGCTGTTTAATAAACCAATCGCATTGGCGAATCGCCGCAAAAATCGACTGCAAAAAAATCTTCAAAGGGTTAAATTTTCATTGTTTTTTTTTTGTCGACGACCCCGTTCACTGGCGGGGCGACAAATTAAGCGACGTTATTAAACAATGCATGTCAGTTTTCAGTGGCGACAGACGACTTTTTTCAGCCTTTGACGTTTTTTTTTTTGACCATGGATTATTGAAAAATGTTCGGAACAAAGGCGCACGTGCCGCGCTGATCAAACAAAAATCACGCCTTTGATTAAAAACGCGCTTTTAATGCTTTGAAAAGTAGTTTAAATAGAGTTTGGGGCGGCGGTATGGGTTTCCTTGTACATAATCCAAAAATATAATGAAGAAAACAAATGCAAATGAACAATGTAAAAAATAAAATTATAGTAAAACACTATAAGTTTAACTTTCGTGGGTTAAATGAAAATACTATAATATATACGAGGTGTGTTCAAAAAATAAGGTGACTTTTGTAAATGGTCCGGCTGCGTGCATTCGATTTTAGATATTTTTTTTGTTATGTTGGTACACATGTCCCTAAATTTTGGTAAAAAAATGAAGTACAGTGCTGCAAAACACTGGAAATTTTGACAACGGCATATGGTCAATCTACATTGAGCAAAAAAAAATGTTTACAAGTGGTATAAGCTGTTCCAAGATGGCCGAGAAGACACGGATGACGCGTTGAAAGCATTGAAAAAGTGAAACAAATTGTGTTGAAAAATCGTCGAATCACTATTAGAGAAGTGGCTGAAAACGCTGTTTTGGGCATGGAACGTGTAACAGCAAAATATGTTCCGAAACTGCCTAATTTTGAACAAAAGGACTTTCGAAGGAGCATCGCTGAAGAACTGTTAAAGGACGTCAATGGTGATCCTGATATGCTCAAAAACTGGCAACGAATCATGACTATATGGTTATGACGTCGAAATCAAATCCCAGTCGCCCCAACGTAAGAACCCAGAATAGCCAAGACCGAAAAAAGCACGTCAAGTTCGATAAAATGTCAAGATTTTGCTTGTTCTTACAATAAGGTCGTACGGTCAATAAAAAGTATTATGAAGTTATGCGCCGTTTGCGAGAAGCAATGCCAAGGAAACGTCCGGAATTGTTGGAACACAATTAATGGGATAATACATCTGCTCACTCGTCATCAACACACATCACACAAAACGACAATCATGCCTCAGCCAACATATTCACATATTCACTGGGCATGACCCCCTGCGACTTTTTCCTGTTCCCAAAACTCAAGAAACCCATGACAAAAAGGAGAATAAAGAAAAAATCGCTTGAAGAACTCAAAGCAATATCAAAAAGTGCTTACCAGAAGTGCTTCGAGGATTGCAAAAAACGTTGACACAATTGTATTATATCTGGGGGGTTGCTTTGAAGGGAACAACATTTAATTTTGATTAAGTTTAAAAGTCATCTTACTTTTTGAAAACACCTCGTAAAATGCCAGTAAGGGCGTCAAGCCAATGTAGCTGCCATATAGCTATTAGATATATGGAGGCCATGAGTGTGTTCTTAATACAAGCAACCATTTCAAATCTCATTTTTATCCATTAGGACCTTGCAGAGTTCTCAAAATATGGCTAGATCCTGAGTTAAATGTGTGAAGATCGCTGTTAAAAAAAATGGCACATTGCGGTCTGTATTAAGGATTCTATATCTTGTAGTCCTGTCCAGTGCCTGATGTTTCGTAGCCAAGATATTTCTTCCTTCCGATTCCTCTCTTTCTTTCAATTTTACCTTCGATCAGTATGTGCAAAAACTGGTATTTGTAAGCCTCCAACTTGTTAATTGCAGTCGTCCTCAATGTCCAGTCTTCCATGCCGTAAATAAACACCGACCAAACGTAGCACTTTACGAATCTCAGTCGTAGATTAAGATCAAAATGGAGGCAGGTAAGCACTCTCCGAAACCTATCGAGCTTGTTGAATGCGACATGTTCTTTCTTTGTCTGATGCCCAGTCTTCAAAGAGAAACCCCTCTCTAAGGGCATTAAATGTTATGGCGACGTTTTCAACCATATTTATGTTTCTTGAAATTATCAAAAATTGTTTTTTTGTTATTGATGTTTAGGCCCATTGATTTGTTCTGCTCTTATCGACCAGTTGTTGTAGGTCGTGCTATTATCAGCGATTAAGATGGTATCGTCCGCATAACGGATATTGTTAATCCACGTCCCATTAAGTTTGATTCTCATTTCCATGTCCTCCAGGGCCTCTTGGAAAATTGCTTCGGAATATAAGTTGAATAAAAGTGGAGACAGCAGGCATCCTTGGCGCACCCCCCTTTTGATCTGTATATTGTCGGACATATTGTTGTCTAGTTTTATTTGCGCTGTTTGGTTCCAGTATAGATTTTCAATGCATCGGATGTCTTTCTGATCTATATCCAGCTTTTTAAGGACACTGCTGCATTAGTTTGTGGTGCCGTAGGCGATTGAATGCCTTTTAATAATCTATGAAACAGAGGCAAACATCCCTTCTCCGGTCATAGCAGTTCTAACAAGCACTTGTGTTGCAACTATTGCCTCTATCGCCGCTTATGTGTCTTTCACACTGTCAGAATATTCTTTGGTGCATAATTTTAAAAAATATTTTTAGGGCATGCCTCATTAGGCTAATAAGTCTGTGGTATTCTTGAATTTGTCTTCTTAAGCAAGGGCATAAAAGTTGCGATCAGCCATTGCCCAGGGTAGTGACCTGTCTCATATATGATGTTAAACACCTTATGCAGTGCGGTGATACCTCTTTCATCGAGGAGTTTGAGTACTGCTGAAGGAATTTCATCCGGGCCAGTTGCTTTCTTATTTTTTGAATTACGTATAACTTTCTCAATCTCCTCTTTAGTGATCCGTGGACCAATTAGAGAGTTAATGGTGTGAACTGGGGGTCTGTCGTCTTCAAAAGGGTGTGCTATATACTTTTCCCAAACATTGATCTTCTCTTTGCTGTCGAGGACTAACTGGTTGTTATTGTGTCTCATTTTTATATATGTACCGGCACTTTAGCTTTTTGTGCATATTAAAATCATTATGTTGATTTTGCAGTTGTTCTATTACCGAGCATTCGTGTTTAAGCCATTCGTCTTTTGCTATTCTAATCTTTGATCTTATAAGTCCTT